GAGTTCTTCTAGGTTGGCCCTGCCTTCCCACCAGGTGCTCCATCACTGCTTCAGGATGTGACTTAGCATTTCTACTGTACCACAGCTATGAAACAAGTAGAAATTTTCGTTTGCCACAATGGGCTCAAAATTATCCATTTCCACTGGTTAAGTAGAGAACGGAAAAGCATTGTTTAAGTCTTGCCTTGACAATTCTGACCCCCATCGCATGAATGTTTAAGCCGTGATGCTTTCAGGTGGTTGATTTCATAAAAATTTAACATAAGGAATAAACTACCAAAATTTATAATTAACTATTCTACCTATAATTGTGAATGGCATCTCTGTATTCTTCCTGTTTCTCTCAACATGGCTTGGTATAAAAGACAGGCTGGATTTCTTGGTTAGAGATTGCTGTTTTTTTTTTCTGGCTGCTGACTCTTATTAACAAGGTCTGCGGGGCGATATTTTTTATTATTCTGGTGGTTTATGTTCAGTCCTGAAAAGAAGCAGAAAAGATAATTTTTGAAAGTTTTCATCTTTTCATCGTCACACTACACCCATGCATGTCTCTGATTCCCCCAAGCTGTCTATGGCACTTTCTAGTTGTTCCTGCGATGCTTGGGCTGTTTGTTTCTCTTCTAAGCGCATGTATAACCATACTCCAGCAATGCCCAACTCCCAGTGAAATCTCTCCACCCACACAGCTAATCATCAGACCATCCATACATGACGCCCATGTTTTTGATAGTGGCTCTCTGTTGCTTCAACAGTTGCATACATGAGGAAATTTAACTGCTCCTGTTGTGTGCCCTGATGAAGAGTAACTCCTGTGCTCAACTGTTTCTGTTATATTTCAACTCAGTGTTAACAGCATTTTCCACTGCAAGTAGTCCAAGGATTATTCACTTTCTGATGTTTTAGTTTGTCTTTGTTCTTTAACAAAATGAATTAAATTATACACAAAGTTTAAACCAGCTTCCATTTGCTTGAGTACCATAAGCCTCTATTCTATACTGAGCTATGGTACTGAACAAACTGTAATTATGGGATCTGATTTTTGCTGTGAAAAGATGTATGTTATTTAGATACCATAAATTAAACTGTGCACAATTATCACAGCAAACAATTTTGCAGTGTATCATAAAAGGAACTGCACCAATATGGAAATAATAGTGTGCCCAGAAGACATAAAATATTGCCTTCATCTTTCTCTACAGTTTTAATATGTGGTGAAAATCATGATGCTGTTTCTCTTGAAACTGCAAAATTCAGTTTAGCAAATTAATTCCAAATGCAGATTTCCTCTAAGAACTTTGTGGTTTTACATCATCTGTTATTTCCATATCTTGCAGAGCCCACAGCGTAGGACAGCAGATAACTTAGTTCAGATTATTATTCATTGTTTTTAATAGTTTTAACATCCCAAAGGAGGGTGGGATTATTTATATGTTTAATGGTTTCCAGATTTTTGAGCTGGTAGTTTGTTCAGTTCTCCGGGGAAAAAAACAAAACAAAACAAAACAACAACAACAACAAAAAAAAAAACCAACAAACAACTGATGGCTACTATTCATCTTCCTTTATTCAAAGACAGTGTTGGGCCTCTGGTTAAATTATTAAAGCAAAACTGCCCAGTACAGGTTAGACTTATTTTCACTTTTTGCTTATCTCTAAGGAGAATTAAAGAATTGTTTTTAAAAGTCTTACATTGAGTTTCTTACTTTGATCATGCATATTAAAGTGACTATGACTGTATGATCCACAATTTCTTAGTGAGTTTTTAATACAATTGCATATTTTTATATCTACATACATTTATCCATGTCGTTATTGGTGCCTTATCCCATTTTAGCCCTGTTTCAATTCTGCCAGCATTACCAGTCCTATACTATCATCATTACTGCGAAATTTATCATCTTTTCAGAAATTTTATCAGATACAAGGAGTTTGATTTCAGTGGCATAGAGTGCTAAAGAAGCTGTTATTTAAGATAAGAATAGAGGATAAAATTGTTCTGATTATTTAAGACTGTGTTCCTTTGAATAATCAACAGTTGATTGTAGCTGTATATAAAGTTACTGCTCTTTAGGAGGTGGAGTCTAAGAATGGCAACAGATTATTCCTATAATAAATATCTTCAGGATCAAGTCTACGGATTAATATAGAGGTTGCCTAGCTTAGAAAACCTGGCCCAGTCTTTCTCTGAAGTGACTTCAGATTTATCTGTTCTCATCACAGCAAATTCTCAGTGTAGACTATTGTAAGGGTCCCTCACCCTGTCACCTGTCACCACCAGAGAGGTGGTTGAGTCACCATCCCTGAATGTGTTTAAAAATCATCTGGATGTGGTGCTCAGGGACACGCTTTAGCTGTGGGTTGCTAGAGTTATGACAGTATGGTTAGGTTGTGGTTGGACTCAATTATCTTGAAGTCTTTTCCAACCTGAGTGATTCTATGATTCTATGATTCTATTCTACCAAAAAGCAGGAAAAAACTGAGAAATCCAGCGTATATTGCCACCCCTGTATGTTACCTACCAGAGTAGAAATGAATGTCTCCTTCTTATAGACTTAATCTGAGTTTTTCTTAAACACAAAAGATGATCCTAAAGATTTTTCAGTATTCATCACCTAATAATAGTGTTTAAATACAAAATAAGATTTTTGGCAATACTTTCCAACAGGGGGGAAAAAAAGGAAAGAAAGAATGAAAGGAAGGAAGAAGGAAGGAAGGAGGGAAGGAGGAAAGGAGGAAAGGGAGGGAGGGAGGGAAGGAAGGAAGCAAGGAAGGAAGGAAGGAAGGAAGCAGAAAGAAAATGCAGTATTTTTCAAACCCCTCACCCTCCTCCTTGTGGATGGGTTTAGTCTAATTCAACCCTGGACAACTCGCGACCTCTTTTGGTCAGTGAACAAAATGAGTAAGATGACAAAAGATGGTTGAATACCATTGGTGCAGTCACCTATCTGTGTAATAAAAGTGTCTGGGTTTTTTTTTCCGGAACTACTTTTATTTCAATTCCCAAGGAAAAAAAGTTTTTCTTAACTCTTGCATCATACTTCTTAAATGCAAAATCAATTAAAAAAAAAAATCCTTGCAAGGTAAAATGTCTCTTTCAAGAAGGTATCTGGAGGCATTGTCTGAAAAAAGAATGGAGAAAGCAACCTGAAGATTTTATTTTAATGATCTATAAGTATCTGATTTTTAAAAGAGAACAGTTTTTGAGATTGACAGGACAGTACCTTGAATGATACAATACACACTCCACATTTCTGAACTTCAGTGTTAATGACAAAGGGGTTGAAAACAGAGCAATTTTGGGCTCATATCATTTCCATGGTAGAAAATATTTGTATGAGCCAGTATCTTGTCAGCAATATTCTGTTTACTTTGTATGATGAGCAGACTTTTATGTCAGAAAGACCATACACGTGTTTACCTCACCATCTCCTTTTGCAACAGGTCTCAGGAGCACTGTGATGATAACATATTTGTAATGATCACAAATTCTGGCTTCGTCAGTTCTGATTTTCTCCTTTGAAATTAAGCCAAGAAAAGGAGGGCAAAGTAAGCCAAGCAGAGAGAGGGTGGGATTTGCACTGGCTACAAGAAAAACGCAAACACATGCGCTGTGCAAAATTGGGTTTCGATGTTATTATTTTTCCCCAGATCTGTGAGGATGTTGTAATGGAAAGTGTTTTCTCTTGGGCAGTGGAAAAGGTTTAAGAGTTCAGAGAATGTTTTAGAAAGATAGGGGAGGAGTATCCGCGGGGCTGGAGCATCACATGTACTAAGTCCTTTGCCAGAGCCAGAGAGCATACATGTCCGAGATGTAACATCTGTGTGCGTGTGTCTGTGCGTGTGTGCATTTTGCCCTATTTTCTCAGCAAATGCAACTGTCATGTGAACTGTAAGCCAGTCCCATGGTTCATCCAGGATCTGAATGTATGCACGTGTAAGAGAAAAGATAGGCCTCTCTGCTTTCCGGGGCAAAGCAGGCAAGATTGTGTACTCAGGAGTCCAAAAAAGGGCACTCTCCATGAGATCTGCTCATGTGTCGTGCTGTACTGGTGCCAAGCTGACACACGGGCACGCAGAACACCCGTTCTTAAAAGAAAAGGCAGACGAAATGCCCTTCTTCCCAGGGCCGTACCCTTAAGCCGATCTCGAAGAACCCGTAAACCCCACGCATGGCCACAACCACCTTCCCCGCCCCCAGCTCCATGTCCGAAACCTGCATTTAGCGAGCAGCAGCGCTCCGTGCCGCCTGGTGCCGCTGGTAATTCATGGCGCGGGGCGGGCGGGGGAACCGCGCTATATAGGCAGGTCCGGGCGGCATGCGAGGGCAGATGGGTGTAGGGTCGGGAAGGCGAGGTGGCTGAAGGAATAGAAAGAGATTTTTTTTTTTTTTTTTTTTTTTTTTTTTTT